CCCTCTTTCGAGGGGAGCCGCCGCCGGCCGTCGTCGCGCGACGCAGCTTCGCCGTCCCTTGGCCAGGTACTCCCACGCTGCTCGGAGCAGACCGACCGACGGGTGTCGCGGCTCGCAGGATTTCTCGCAATTCTGCGCGTGGCGCGTCAGCGCTTTCCCGCTGTGCCCCCGGTGCGCGTGCCCGTTCGCTGACGGAAATGACGAGCCCCGACGTAGCCGTTCACCGTTCCTCTCCCCGCGCCCTTTGCGCGGCTGCTTTCCTCTCGGCCTGCCCAGGGAGGCTGCAGAAGCAGCGGGAGCACCTCTTCCCCACACACAGCCGCGCCACCCTGGAGTCCAGAGGCTCAGGGAGGCATGTGCTCAAGCAGCAGCAGGCACCGGCCGGGCCGGGCCGCCAGGAGGAGGACAGATTAGCCAGCCGCTTCCGGGCTTAGCTGCCTGGAGGTTGCCCCTCTGGTGTGTTTCCGCGCCCTTTGCCAATCAGCCTCCATCCATCCGGTAGCCTGCCCTGCACAGGCCACTGGGAGAACTAACCCTAGCCAAGAGCAGGCAGAGGGAGGGGTGATGATCTCTGCTCACAGGTGTGCATCCTCCAGAGCAGGCAGAGGCCTCTGGGACAGCAGGCAGCAGAAACCTGGATCTCAGCTATTCCACAAGGGAGGGATCTGAAGTTTCTTTAGCTAGGCCTCTGTAACAGAGTTGGTCCCATGCACCTGGCATGCCCAGAAAGGGCAGCGTTGTCTCTTTTCCCTCTCGGTACCGGGCTGAGGATTCCTCAAGCCCAAGGCAGAGTACTCTGAAACCTCTGCTGTAGGAAAGGGCGTGCGCAGCCCCCCATTCATGGCCTCCTCTCCTTGAGAGGGCCACCACTTGCTTCATCCAACTCAAAGAAACTGCTAGGCTCAATCTCCTTTTCTGAGCCCTGGTGAACACCAGAAGAGGCTCATCTTCATGTCACAGAGAGAAAAGCTGGACACCCCAAGTAAATTGCACTGAGTTCTGCCAGCCTCACTTGTTTGATGTTGTGGAAATGTGTGTATGAGAAATACTCATCCTCTTTCTGGTTGGCACTTAGTCAAGATGCCACTGCTGTAATGTGGCACAGTTTGTCAGCCATGTGTGCGTGGGCAGATCTTAGGACTTGCAATTAACCACACAAATGGTGGTTAACTGTCAAAAAATCTGACAGCAATCTGGCCAGAGATGGAGGGCTGAGACTTGGCTGGGAGGAACTGGGCTGAGTGGCTATTGCTGTCTGTCTTGATCTGGAACTGGCTGCTTAGCAACAGCCAGAGAACAGCCATCTCCACAGAGCCCTGATGTCCTAGACATAAGCACAGACAGGCAATTGACCGGCGCCTGCAAAAAGGGAGACCCGATCAACATATGCTGGCCCTGCAGCAAGGTGGTCAGTGCCTTTTCTCTAGGTTGTTCTCTTCACTGTGTACTCCCTATTCCAGCTTTATAATTCCTTTGGGAAGTTAGTTTATTTTATTTATTTGTATATCACATTTATATAGCTGCCCATCTCACGCAAAGCAACTCAGTAGTTGTACTCATGAAGTAAGACCTCACCCCTGGAGAGAAGCTGAGTTAGCAGCTAGACATTCTGTGGCCTTGGAATGCAGGATCCTACAGCTGAGTGAATGTCAGGAAGGGTGGCATTTGCCGCGTCTTTTTCTTTCTGCCCTTCTCACAGCCAGCAGCTCAAAGCAGACCTAAATTCCCCCTTCCACTCCAGGAGCAAGGTTGAGAACCTCTATTTCTGAGCAATGGCAGGGCCCTTCAAGCCTGTAGATCACTTTATTTAAAATGCACGTATGCCACTTCTCCTGTACAAAATCCCAAAGCAGATACAAATAATTGATAACATTAAAGCAAATGCAGTAAGACAAACAATAAGCGATAGTCCTGATCTTCAGGAAGCTGTAACCTTGCAACCCAGCAGATGGCCAAGGGGGTGGCAAATTAGAATTTCACATTCACTTCCTAGTTTGTAGGCTCGGAATATAATTTTGGATCTGTCAACCCCCATAAACTTGATTTCAAAATCCAGAACTAGAAAGGCAAGGAAATTAAAAGAGGAAATAGGTAAGTCATTCAGTTGGTTTGATTTCCTTGAGCAAACCCTTTCTGAAATGGACTGCAGACTAGCAACTCTTGTGATATGTGTTTAAATATGCATTTCCACCACATGGCAAAACAAATCAGGTGGGATTAGAAAATCAAGCCACCCCTGTACTGTCACTGTTTTCTGTCCCGGGAATGGAGATGCCCCAGTGACTACCAGATGGGGCTGGTGTGGGAAAGAATCCCTGAGCTGGCTGGGATAGGCTTGGGTGCCCAGCCCATGTCCTGCATCACCATAGGCCAGATGGAACTGGTGCATCCCCAACCCTCTCACCTCAAGTCTCAACATTGTTTGGGAGCACAGTGCACACACACACTGAGGAATGAGGGAAGCCATGAAGTGCTGTTATGAGGTCAACCAAGAGAGCCCCCAGGATCTGACCTGGGCCTTGTTCAGAGCAACCAGAGCAACCCCTTGCTGCTGCTCCCATCCCTGTTCCTCATCTCTGCTGGCTTTTCAGTTGCAAATACTCTACCAGATCACTACATTGCAGAGGCCTCCCCCTTAAGGTTTTGTGAAGCTTTTGAGGGACGTGGCATTTCCTGAGCTCAACAGTCTGTCTTCATGAGACCCCAGGATAGAGACCCCCTGGCCCAGCACAATGTACAGTCCAGCCTGCTTGTACCGGAGGGGATGTTGTTGCATTATAACACCCCATCACATGCTAGGCATTTCTGTTAGTGCAGACTAGTAAAATCAGTCGTACACTAACAAGG